AGGATTGGGGACAGCTGGGGATTGGATTGGGGACAAGGGTTGGGGGCAGGATTGGGGGGACAGGCAGGGGAAAGAGCTGGGACAGGGCTGGAGGGACAGCTGGAGGAAAGGGCTGGGGACAACTTGGGGGCAGAACTGGACTGGGACTGGGGACACTGGGGACAGGACTGGGGACACCTAGGACAGCAGGGGACAGGATGGGGACAGACTGGGACAGCTGGGGATGGCTGGGGGATAGGGCTGGGGACAAGACTGGGGACACCTGGGGACAGACTGGGACAGCTGGGGATGGCTGGGGATAGGACTGGAGGACAGGGCTGGGAGACAGGACTGGGATGAGACTGGGGACAGAGATGGGGACAAGGCTGGAGGATAGGACTGGGGACACCTAGGACAGCAGGGGACAGGACTGGGGACAGGACTGGGGACACCTGGGGACAGGATGGGGACAGACTGGGACAGACTGGGATGGCTGGGGGATAGGATTGGGGGACAGATTGGGGGACAGGGCTGGAGACAGCTGGGGATTGGATTGGGGACAAGGCTGGGGGACAGGACTGGGGACAGACTGGGACAGCTGGGGGACAGGGCTGGGGGACAGGGTTGGGGGGCAATTGGGGACAGGACTGGGAACAACTGAGGACAAGCTGGGAACAGGATTGGGGGCAGCTGGGGACAATCCAAGGGGACAATCCTGGATCCAGGGCTGGGAATGTCCCAGGGTATTGCCTGTGTCCAGGTATCCCCAATGTCCCTGCTGTCCCTGTGTGTCCCTGCTGTCCCCTGTGCGTCCCTGTGGGTGTCCCTGATGTCCCTGTGTGTCCCTGCTGTCCCTGTGTGTCCCTGATGTCCCTGGGTGTCCCCAATGTCCCTGATGTCCCTGTGGGTGTCCCTGCTGTCCCCTGTGTGTCCCCCTGGTATCCCTGATGTCCCTGTGTGTCCCCCATGTCCCTGTGTGTGTCCCTGCTGTCCCCCATGTCCCTGATGTCCCCGTGTGTCCCTGATGTCCCTGTGTGTCCCCCATGTCCCTGCTGTCCCCTGTGTGTCCCCAATGCCCCTGTGTGTGTCCCTGATGTCCCCCATGTCCCTGCTGTCCCCTGTGTGTCCCTGCTGTCCCTGTGGGTGTCCCTGATGTCCCCTGTGTGTCCCTGTGGGTGTCCCCCATGTCCCCTGTGTGTCCCCCATGTCCCTGTGGGTGTCCCTGTGTGTCCCTGCTGTCCCCAATGTCCCTTGTGTGTCCCTGTCCCTGTGTGTGTGTCCCTGCTGTCCCTGTGGGTGTCCCTGCTGTCCCTGCTGTCCCCAATGTCCCCTGTGGGTGTCCCTGCTGTCCCTGTGTGTCCCTGCTGTCCCCTATGTGTGTCCCCTGTGGGTGTCCCTGCTGTCCTCTGTGTGTCCCTGCTGTCCCCAATGTCCCTGTGTGTCCCCCATGTCCCTGCTGTCCCTGTGTGTCCCTGCTGTCCCTGTGTCCCCCCCAATGTCCCTGATGTCCCTGTGGGTGTCCCTGATGTCCCCGGTGTGTCCCTGCTGTCCCCAATGTCCCTGCTGTCCCCAATGTCCCTGATGTCCCTGTGTGTGTCCCTGCTGTCCCTGTGTGTCCCCAATGTCCCCTGTGTGTGTCCCTGTCCCCTGGATGTCCCCAATGTCCCCTGTGTGTCCCTGCTGTCCCCAATGTCCCCGTGTGTCCCTGTCCCCAGGGGCCAGCAGTTTGCGCAGCAGATGCAGCAGCAGAACCCGGAGCTCATTGAGCAGCTGCGCAGCCAAATCCGCAGCCGGACCCCGAGCGNCTGGGAATGGGGAATGGGATTTGGGAATGGGGGATGGGAATGAGGAATTGGGAATGGGGATGGAGAATGAGAAATGAGGAATTGGGAATGGGGTTTGTGAATGAGGATGGGGGAATGGGGAGTGAGGAGTAGGGAATGGGAAATGAGGAATGGGGAATGAGGGGTGGGTAATGGGAATGAAGAATTGGGAATGAGGAATGGGAAATGAGGAATGGGGATTGGGGAATGGGAAATGGGGAGTGAGCAGTGGGAATGGGGAATGAGAGAGGGGAATGGGGAATTGGGAACAGGGATGGGAAATGAGGAATGGGATTTTGGGAATGGGGAATGAGCAATGGGAATGGGGGATGGGAATTGGGGAATGGGGAATGAGGGATGGGAATGAGGAATGAGGAATTGGGAATGGGGTTTGTGAATGAGGATGGGAAATGAGGAATGGGGAATGGGGAGTGAGGAGTAGGAAATGGGAAATGAGGAATGGGGAATGAGGGGTGGGTAATGGGGAAATGGGAATGAAGAATTGGGAATGGGGTTTTGGAATGGGGAATGGAGAGCGAGCAGTGGGAATGGGAAATGAGAGATGGGAATGGGGAATTGGGAACAGGGATGGGAAGTGAGGAATGGGATTTTGGGAATGAGGAATGGGGTTTTGGAGTGGGAATGGGGAATGAGCAATGGGAATGGGGGATGGAAATTGGGGAATGGGGAATGAGGGATGGGAATGAGGAATGGAGTTTGGGAATGGGGATGGAGAATGAGAAATGAGGAATTAGGAATGGGGTTTGTGAATGAGGATGGGAAATGAGGAATGGGGAGTGGGGAATGGGAAATGAGGAATGGGGAATGAGGGGTGGGTAATGGGAATGAAGGATGGGGAATGAGGAATGGGAAATGAGGAATGGGGTTTTGGAATGGGGAATGGGGTTTGGGAATGGGAAATGGGGAGTGAGCAGTGGGAATGGGAAATGAGAGATGGGAATGGGGAATTGGGAACAGGGATGGGAAATGAGGAATGGGGTTTTGGGAATGAGGAATGGGGTTTTGGAGTGGGAATGGGGAATGGAAATTGGGGAATGGGGAATGAGGAATGGGATTTTTGGAATGGGAATGAGGAATGAGCGATGGGAATGAGGAATGGGGAATTGGGAACAGGGATGGGGAATGAGGAATGGGGTTTGGAAATAGAAATGGGGAATGAGGAAAAGGATTTTGGAATGGGAATGAGCAATGGGAATGGAGAATGAGGAATGGAGAATGGGGAATTGGGAACGGGGATGGGAATGAGGAATGGGATTTTGGAATGGGAATGGGGAATGAAGGATGGGAATGAGGAATGGGGTTTGGGGAATAAGGAATGGGAAATGGGGTTT